GGGGGCAGGAGCCGGACTCAACCCCTTCTGCCCAGCGACCCGCCGCGCCCCTCCCTGTTGTCAGCCTCGCACCCTCCTCCCTCGGTATCCTCCTGGAGTGGGAGCAGTCATTCTGTCTGGGCCCAGTGAGGACAATGGGGGGTGCCAGGACAGTGCCACGAGGCAGACGCAGCACTATCAAGGTGGAGTGGTAACCAGGAGGCCTCAGGCCTCAGGCCCGCATGGTAAACTGGCAGGAGCCTCCCCGAGGGGGCGGCCGGCAGGGCCTCACTTCCTGTGCCATGGCGCCAGTCCTCTCGGCAAGAGCCTCTTTGGAAGAGGAGTCCACGGTAAGTGGCGGTGGGGCCAGTTCCACCCCACTGGCCTCACCGCAGCCCCGCGGCCCACTTCATGGAGGACAGTCAGCTGAGGGGAAGGCCCCAGGCCCTCGGTCCACTGAGCTCCTGCAGACACTGGACAGAGCCCAGTGCCTCTCGCCCCGCCTTCGGATGCGGCCTGTCTGGGACGGGGTGCCCCGACCCTATGGGCCATCTCCAGGGACCAGGAGACAGGGACAGACCAAGGCCACACTTACCCAGCCCATTTGTCGGGCACCAAAGAAGATGGGGGGCCATGACCAGTTCAGGGCGAGCTGCCCGGCATAGAGGCCCAGAGGAACCACAGCCTCCTCTGAGAAGCCCCCTAGCTCTTTCCAGACCATGTAGGAGCCATACCTAAAACAGAAGCCACTAGTCAGGTACCATTGTGGGAAAAGCAGGAGCCTCACCCACCTCTGGAACCACGCCCTGCACCAACTGCTGTATGACCTCAGGCAAGTTGCTCAACCTCTCTGGGGCTTTAGGGTTGCTGTGGGGATTAAAATTAACACACTGGCAGCTCTTAATGCAGTCTCTGGCATGTGGCTACCCAGTGATTGTTGGCAGTTCTCATCATCAGCGCTGCAGAGGGTTAGCAGAGGGGGCCCTTGGCCTTGCCAGGGCCTGCACAGAGGATGCCCGGGCCGGGCCTCAGAGGGTGCACAGGACACGCAATGGCTTGGAGACAGGTGTGAGGCCCTGAGTCGATCTGTGTGAGTGCAGGGGGTGGGGAGGCAGAGGAGGCGTCCTAGGGGTGAAGGGCGCCTGGACCAGGAAGGGAAGAAGAAAGCAGGGACAGGGATGTGGGCCCAGGTGACCCTGAGGCTCCCAGGCAGGCACCTGGCCAAGAGTGCAGTCTCTCTGGCACCACGAGCGGGCGACCTGCCCACCAGCACGTCCCCAGGTCTAGTCACAGGGGACGTGGTGCCAGTCTGAGGCCTGCAAGGTGCCCCGTGGGCTCCCCACTCGCTAGCTCTGTGAGCTCAGGAGGGCCCTGACCTCAGGAGGTCAAATGGGGGGCTGTGGAACTCAATGGAGGTTGAGCTGGCTCTGGGCGTGGGCTCCTCACATGGGAGCGCGCAATCACTGTGGTCCTCACCATTGTTTATCTTAGGAGCATCCATGCCTCTGTCCACACTGACCAACACGTGGGAGCTGCCCTCCCCTGGACCTGTGGACACACTGGCCAGATGCCCGTCCGTGTGAGCCGTCAGCCTGCCCCACCCGGGCCCTCCAGGAGGAGAAAGTCCCACTGTGTAACCGACAGGCCGGCAGCATCCCCGCCCTGGCCTGCAAGCCGGGTCCAAGGCCCACCTAGAAAACAAAATCCCAGGGGAGAGCCCTGGCCCAGGGCCCCTGCCCACCTACCCCATGGCCGAGTAGAGCGTGCCCCAGATGGGACTCAGTGCCCAGCGGGGCGGGTGCCACGAGGGCTTCTGCAGGCCAGCATACCAGCGGAGGCCCTCGCCACGGACAAAGTGGGAGCCCAGGAAGCCCCCGAGGCTGGGCGCCAGTGTGAAGCCCACAGCGGGCACCCAGGGTGGGGCCATGGCTGCTACAGCTGCTGTTCAGAAAATTCTGAAAGAGAAGATGGGGGGTGGAGCTGTTACCAAGGACTTGAGGGTCAGGCCTGCCATCTCTGCCACATCACCTAAAGTCCCATCGCCCACCCATCTGCCCATCGCCCACCCCTCTGGCCATCACCCACTGATCCACCCATCGCCCAACCCTCTGGCCATCACCCACCGATCCACCCATCTGCCTATTGCCCACCCCTTTGGCCATCACCCACTGATCCACCCATCACCCACCCCTCTGGCCATCACCCACCGATCCGCCCATCGCCCACCCATCTGCCTATGGCCTACAGATCCTCCCATCATCCACAGATCATCCCATCGCCCACCCATCCGCCCACCGGCCCATTGATGGGAGGTGTGCAGAAAGCCCTGGGAAGCAGGGAGGGCTGAGTCCCCGCCCACAGCCTCTGTGCTCAAGCAAACAAACTCCTCCCAACTCCTGGCCACCCCCAGGCGTCCTGACTACCAAGGGTCTCTCAGAGTGCCCCACCCAGCCCTGGCCTCGCCTCTGCTCCTGCTCCAACGGCAGGGGTCTCACGTCCTTGTGCTCACCCTCGACAGTGACATCTTCTCCCTCGTTCAAGGGCAGTTTGGTCCGCTCCAAGACGGCTCCCCGGCCTCAGGGGCCCGAGCGAGACCTGTGCTCTGTCCTAGCATCACACTCATCGTCCGTTCATTCGGCGCCCAGAGCCAGAGAGCCGCCTCACCTCCCGGATCCCCATGCTTCACCGAGACTTCAGGCAAGTCATTTCCGCTCTCGGGCCTCAGTTTCCCCCTCAGTAGAATGGGATAGCGAGCCTGCCCCCCCGCGATGGGAGCCGTGTCAGGGAGCCTCTCTGCATGCAGCACCCCCAGGCCCACCTGAACGCCTCCACCCCTTCCCTGTGCGCCAGCAGAGAGCGGCCGTCTGGGGCCACACAGCACCCCGGGCCAGGATCTGCCGGCTCGCAAAGCTGCTCCCACCCAGATCGCTGAGGTGGCAAGAATTCAAAGCTGGGGAGGTCTGGAGAGGTGGTCGATGGCTCCCCAGTCTCCTCAGCAGCCCGCCCAACCGAGGCACAGGGAATCCGTGGCCCGGTCTCGCCATCGTGCTGTTCGGCAGACCTCGCTGCCTGCAGCCCCTGGTGGTGAAAGACAACCGCGCCGGGAACCGGGAACCAGCTAAGCACTCAGCACTACGGGGGCTCCCCGCCCGCAGAGGAGCACTCTGATCCAGCAAGGCCACAGGGAGGTCCGGACTGGACGCTGAGCCCCACTCCGCTGGGCCTGCCATGGGACCCTAAGCCAGTCAGCACCCTGAGCCGAGGCTGAGTCCCCAACACTGATTCTGGCTGGAGGACAAAGGTGTCTGTTCCTGTCTGAGACAGGAAACCAAATTGCCATGAGGGCAGGGACTGGGGACCCTGCAGAGAGTGGGGTGGGGAGGTGCGGCGGGACCTCGGGCCTCAGAATGGACACCCGGGGACCAGGGAGGTGGGGCTGCAGGAAGGCGGGAGCACTCTCCCCTCACGGGAGCCACAGAGAGCCACAGCGCAGGCCCAGCAGCCACATCCCGGGAGGGGAGGCCAGCCTGGGGCGCCCAGCAGCAGAAGGGGCACTGAATCTGGGCAGGGGAGCCACCAGGGCATTAGGGCCAGGGGTGGGGGCGCTGCTGGCCTGGGACTCCATGGAGCAGAGAGAGGCAGAGCGACCTCAGAGCCTGATAACCAGGAATATTAAAGACCAGTCAGCCCCAGGTCAGCAGGTGGAATGGGGGTTTAGATGATGAATCCCATGTGGCCGACTCCACGGTTCAAGTCTCAGACCCAGCGGCTTGGAAATCACACCAGGCATGTGTGCATATGTGCCCCAAATCCCAAGAGACTGGGGAACGGACTGCACGTGGCCATGCCCCCAGGGGGTGATCTCTCATTCTTCTTGTCTTTCTATCTCTCTGGCAAATGCATGCATCATATGACAAAAAATGTCAAAGAAAAAAAAACACTGGTCAACCCCCAATCAAACTTGTGGCGACCTTTCAACAATGGGAAAATTGTGCTCAACACAACAAGCATGAGATCGATCGACCACAGGGGGCCAGCCAGTAGCATGGTGGTTAAGGCTGCTGGATCCCACACGGCCAGCTCTACAGTTCGAGGCCTGGACCCTGCGGCTTGAAACACACATGGGGCGCGTGCAAGTGCTGCCAAAATCCCAAGAAGGCAGTGGAGCAGAAGGGATTGCGGGGCCGTCCCGTCGGAGGGCTTTCTCACGTCCCCTCTCTCCCTCCTTCTGTCTCTCTGGCAAGTGCACGTGCCCTACAGGGAATTAAAAAATAGAGAAAAAAGGAGCCACCAGGGCCGCGGGCATCCACGACGTCAGTGCTGCCACCGGCCACCTGCTCCCTCGTCTCCGGGCTCGTCTCTCCCATTGAGCAGGGACGTCACGGCATCCCCATCGGCCCCCTCAGATCAGTGACGATAAACACTGGGGCAGGGCCTGTGACACAGGGGCCCAGGCAGCCCTGTGTCACCCCTCCCTCCCGTCCTGCCCTGACCTTTTCAGGGTACATAACTATCCTCGGGGGCAGGGGTCTGACGTGAAGGGCCACCTCCCAGGTCAGAAGCACAGCTGAGCCCTGGCCCCAGGCCGCAAGTTGCCACGCAGCCCTGAGACCAGCGCCCGGTAGGGTACACCGCTATGTCATGTGAGGCGAGCCAGGTCACCTTGGCCTGCAGCTCATTTATCAAATGGGATGTGACCCTGGCTGCGCCCGTCACACCAGGGCAAACCCACAGCAAAGCGGCAGATTTGGGGAACCACGATGAGCCACGTCTGGTGCTTAGGCCTCCCCGAGAGCGGGCACAGTCAGGGCAAGCAGAGGCCTTCGCCTCAGACGGAGAAGGGAAACAGGCCCAGAGGCTGAGGGCAGCAGGGGCCACCAGGGCAGACGCTGGGTCCCCTCAGGGTAAGCACATCTGCCTTCCCTGGGACGGACCCTGCCCATGCCCTCTCTGCCCACACCAATGGCCCTCTCTTGCGCTCAGAAATGCCCGTCGCAGGTGATCAGCATGAGACACGCACACGTCACCCACCCCTTGCTAGAGCTCATGGCAGTGGGTATCCCTCTCAGTCCTCTCATGGGGCGCCTGAAGGACATTCCACACGGAGCCTGCTGGCACCCAGCATGCTTCCAGAAGCACGCACCAGGTCACAAAAGGAAGGGCAGAGGGATGTCACCAACTACAGAGACCGGGTAAGGGGCCTCCCGGAGATCCCACACAGACGGGGGCACGGGGGAGCCCCGGAGGTGTGAGCGTGGCTGTGCCAGGTGCTGCACCCGTGTTCAGACCTGCTTCTGTCTTTTCTTTCTTTCTTTTTTCTTGCTAGAGGGTGGCTGACCTCACCAGAGAGGGCGGGAGAAAGCATGCCAAGGGCCACGGTCCCCCACATCCCTTCTCCACCCCCTTCCCGCCGGGACTGGGGGCACGCACCCAGCATGTTTCTTAAGCCACTGGGCCCGTGATTCAAACCTCGAAGGTGGAGCCGGCCACGTGGGATGGGCTGCCTTAACCGCAGGCTGCAGAGCCGGCCTCTGGCCTCCCCTGTGCCCGCGGGGGTGCTAGGTGAAGGAGTGCAGGCACTGTGTGCTGCTTACACAACTGCCCCGCCCGCGGGGCTGGGACGGAGGCTGGGGACGCAGTGCTAGCTCCCTACTGAGTCCCACCTGCAGGTCAGCCCCTGACCCCAGCCCCGGCCCCCCTCCACTGCCACCAAAGGCCCCTCTGAACTTTCACCCCACCACCCCTGTTCACCGACTCCTCCTGGGATTGTCCTGTCATTTTCATCGTGGCGACACTGGCCTAAGGTAAAACCAACCACTCTCAAGTACAGAATTCAGTAGCTTTCTGTCCTTTCAGTATCTGCCATGGAGTGCCACCATATCAAGCCCCAGGCCGTCCTTACCACCCCAGAGCCCATGCCGCCAGCACTCACCCGAGCTCCCCTCCAACACCAGCGACCAGGACCAGCTTGCCTTTGCCGCTGAGGCTCCGCCCGTTCCGGACACTCCCTGCCATGAGGCAGCCGGTGCGTGGCCCTGGTGCCCCCGCTCACACGGAACATTACCGTTTTCAAGGTTCCCATTGAGTGGTGTGGCCACACTTCTCCCCAGGGACGATGCCACCCGGCCATAGCACCTGGCCCAGCACAGGCTGGGTGCCCAGGAATTCTTCTCACAGGACAGACCCACCTGGGTTCCAGCGCCACCGTCCAAGTGCCCAGGCGTACACAGTGAAGTGAGGCCCCCAGTGGGCAGTGGCTTCCCACAGCTGCGGCAAGAGGCAGCTCTGGAGCCAGGTCTGGCCCCGCACTCCCCCAGCCCTGGCTTCCCCATTCGCAGGCTGGGCTGTGTCTGTGTCCTCTGGGCCGAGGGGATCAGAACAGGGAGGTCAGACACCCCCCCATGGAAAGCACTCCGGAGGCCGCGTGGGGCCTCCCAGCCCTGCAGCCCCTTACTGGGATGGCGGGCAGGGGTGGTGCCCACCAGGCTGGGCTAGCAGGCCCAGGTCTTGGCTCTGAGAAGGGCCAGGGAAAAGCAGGCACTCCCCTGGCAGGGTCCGATAGGGCTACAGCAGAGGGGCAAAGCTGCCATCTGCCTTGACTACCGCCTCCAGTTTGCGGGGCGATCCCAGCCTCGGCTCCTCCCTGGGCCTTGGCTTCATACGACGGAAAAGCAACGCGTGGACTTCAACATTCTTTGCACCAGGGCCAGCCGGGTGGCGTGGTGGGTAAGCCCTAGCGCATGTGCACGTGGCCAAATCCCTGAGGGAAAGGAGACATGGAGGGACCACTGCGTGTGAACATTCCTGCTGGGTTCTCTCTCTACTCTTTCTCTGGCAAGCCCATGTGCCCAATGGCAAAAAGAGAGAAAGAGAGAGAGAGAAAGAGAAAATTGCGCCAGAATAAACACACTTTAATCCCCTTTTCCACAAACTTTTTTAAGTCCCCACGCATGTCTGATGGGTATAACCTGCCTGCCTCAAGGGTCAGGGTAGGGTCAAACACAACAGTGCTTCCCTGGAAAACGCGGGCATCAGTGTTGGGGTGCTCAGCTCACCCCATTTCCTGCAGGGGCTGAAGCTTGGGCCGAGGCTGCTAACCCACCGGCACAGAAGCCCTAAGCCAGCAGCTCTCAGGAAGACACAGGTGGGGTGGCCGCCATGGAGCAGGGGACTCCGAAGTGAGGCAGAACAGAGGCCTCAGGATGGCGGGCAGAAGGTTCTAGGCCTTGCTTGACTCCCTCGCCCACAGCCCAGGGACTACCTGCAGGCAGTGCCCAGGGTGTCTGCTTGTTCTGAGGCCTCTACAGAAGCTGACCCAGAAACAGAAGAGTGGAGCCCTTTCTCCGACCCCTCCCTCCCGCCGCCCAGCTCCTCCCAGGCCACTCCAGGGACAGCTTGTGAATCCCCTTGACTATGAAGTGCCCAGCAGGTCTGCAAGGCCGCACAGACAGCTGGGCCCCAGAGGCCTGGGGGTGGTGGGGGGGGTGATCTGCTCTATGGAGAATAACCACCACGTTCAACAGAGAGAGGGCATTCGGGCAAGGCTTGCACAAATGCAACTCAGTTAGAGAAAACACGAACACGATGCAAACGTGAAACACTGAGAAGGCTGAGGTCTCTAGGAAAAGGAGGCTCCCTCCCTGTCAACCAAGCCCTGCAGGATCCACTGTCAAGCTTTTCATAGATCCCATCGGTCGCCGTGTCCCCACAGCCTAGCACAAATGTGCACCCGCCACCCAGCACGCCCACGCGCACACCGTGGGAAGACAACGTGGCCTCCCAGGCCGCGCTGGGCGCTCACTTTGCTACCATCACACCAGCTGGAGCCCTGCTTCCCCACTCGCTGTGACCCTAGGCAAAGGAGTCTGGTGCGGGCAGGAGCCTCCTTGGGGACCCAGGATCACCGGAGCCTCACCCTGGGGCTGCCATGTGGAGAAAGGCACCCAGAGGCTGGTGCCCTGCCCTCCCTAGCACTTTGCAGCTCCTTCCCTGGAAACCTGCCCCTCTGCCCTGCGGGTGGGGGCCCTCCGCCCACGCACCCTGGCCTATGACTGGTCTCTGGGAGCCTGGAGCCTGGGCGGCTGCTTCCAGCACAGGGCCTCCTCCTCTGCCGACGTCCTCTCCCTGCCCCCGACCCTTTGGGGTAGCTCAGGTCCTGCCCCTCCAGCCATGCACCCTGGAGCACAACGGCCAGTACCAGGTGACACGTGCCAGCGGGCCAGGGCTGCAGCGAGCTCACGGCGGGAGCTCCTGCCCTCCTACCTGGGCCTGGAGCTCCTTCACAGGGGAGGGCCAGGAGGCCCCAGAGGATGCTGCGCTCAGGCCAAGCCGGTGGGCGCCCTAGCACCGACCGAGCTCCAGGACTCGGTCCTAAGGCCAGCGGGGCCTCTAGTTGCCTGTGGGCCAAACTCTACTGACCTGGCCTGTTTTTCTCCCTGTGCAATGAGGTGTCGCAAGCGGGTCAGGAGGCGGAGGTCTCCGCGACACTTGTTGATCCGCACGGAGCCTGCCTCGGCTAGCTCGACCGCGGGACTGGCAGGAGGAGTTGTCTGGCTCCGCCCCGCAGCTGCGCCTCCCGCGGGCAGGACCGCCCTGCCCGGGGTCCCCGCTCCCCGACCCCTCCCCAGCGTGACTCTGGTACACAGGAACCCCAACGCGGAGGACCGAGGTCCGCGAACCCGGTAGCCGAGCCCCAATCGCTGTCCCGCGGCTTCTCTTCGGGTCTCAATCCACGGCTCCGGCCTCAGCTTTCCCCTGACCCCAAGCCGAGGGCGGGCGCTGTCGGGGTCGCACCTGCTAGGGACTCCTGCCCGCTGCCCTTCAGCCACCGGACCCCACTCACCAGCAGCCAGGGCGCGCTCCAGGAAGGGCACTGCGCGGCAGGAGGCGAGAGGCGCCCGCTGCTGGCCGCCCCGCCCCACCTGGCCCGCAGCCAGGGGAGCGGCGCGTCGCGTCGGGGCGTGCGCTCTGCCCTACCCTGGGCATGCTCCCCCGCGCCCGGGCTGTGAGCGCGTCTCTGAGCGCTCTCTCTTCATCAGTGTCTGGAGCCTCATTTTTCCCATCTGCAAAATGGGGCGACCGAGACTGATCTCTGAGAGAGCAATTGCCAAAGCCCTGGTCGCCCCCCACCCAGGAGCACCCACTGCCCTTAGTCGGTGCCCCAGGGCACGGAGGCAGGGCCCCGCACGCTCCATCCTGGCTCGCTTGTTTTCTGGCTGGTTCTCCCAGCCTCCACCTCCTCATCCATAAAATGGGCACGGGCATGGCTCTGGACAAGCAGAGACTGCCACCCTCCAGTTGTCCAGGGTCCCCTCCCATGCCAGGCATGTCCTGCCCCAGGCCTGCCATACACCTCCCCATCTGTATCCCAGGCCCTGTCCCCACCCCTCCACTGTGTAAGGCCTCCCTCGGCCTTACATAGCCACAGTGGCCCAGACTGACCCTCCAGGAGCCAGGGAGGCTCAGCTACCCCTCCCAGGGCACACCGCCGGAGCTCTTTGGAGACCAGCCGGGGACAGAGCTATTGCCTATGACCCGATAGCTCGCCTTCTGTTTACTGTTGGTGTGAAGACAAGTAGAACAGAGGCTATGTTCTATTCATCTTTTTCTTTCGATTTCAAGGGCTTTGGCCCGAGGCCTGTGCCTAGCAGAGGCCCAGTGCCCAGCCAGCCCTCACCCTTTTCCTGTGGGAGTGGCCAGTGTGTCCCAGGAGGGCGGGAAGAGGCTGTACTTCCCTCTGGCCTCACTCTGTGATGGGGACAACCTGGGAGGCGGGATTTGTGTCCCTAACTGCCAGATGCCCACCAGGCCCAAAGGGAGGGACAGAGGACAACATACAAGCACCCTGCCCTCACCACATTCACGCGTTTCACAGAGGAGAACCATGCAGGTCGGAAGGGTGAGGTGACACATGCAGCTGTGGACGCCCCTCGCCGCTGTGTCCGCAGCCTCCCTGTTGCTGCTCCCTCCCCCTTCTCTATGCCCACCCTGGGAACCAACCTAGCCTGCTCACAGGCTTTGCCTGTCCCCCCCGGGCAGCAGCCACAGCCTGAGCACCCCTCCTGCCCCTCCTGCCCCTCCTGGCTAGTGCGATGTGGCCATGCCCCTCCTCTGCTCACTGCCCCATGTCTCACTGCTTAAGTGTCCAGTGCAAGCCTCGGACCTGGACCTGAGACCACCAAGTTGGAGTCAGGCCAGGTCCCCTGCACGTCCCACCTCTGTGCCTTTGCACATGCAGTTCCCCCATGAGCAGCAGGCAGTGACCTCCTTCCCTCTCAATTCCACAGTGCTGCACCCCGGGAGCCTCTCCTGGGCTCTCCACATGTGCCAGCCCTGAGACCTACATGTGGAGCACCTCAGGGCGCCCAGCTCTGGGCTAAACCCAAGGGCACAGCACAACTGAACACACCGAGGAGGAGGAGACGTGGAGAATACCCTCCCCACCCTAGAGGACTGACTTTACCTCAGATGCGCAGAGAGGGCAAGA